TTTATACTCTTTCCAAACTGAGCATAAAATCCATATGAGAGAATGCATTTAATTAAACTTTCATGTAGGGATGCAATTTGGGTGAATTTGGTCTGAGAATTTGTTACCCAAACTTGATTTGGTTGTAATAATTTAAATTAAGCAGCCCCACTTTCATGATCTTGCCAGATCTGGCATGCACATCAGTATAAATATACATTGTAATACATAAATGATAATGGAATCATATCCCAACATGCAAGTTGTGATATTGGTAACCACCCAGTTTGATATGCTTGAAGTAAGCAAAAAAGGGGGTGGCAAGAAAACAAGGAATCCATAAGATTTATCCAGACAGGTGGAACAAAGGAGCAGTATGGGGAGAAGTATATATAAACAATTTTTCATGATAGAGGAATATGACATCATGGCTCCTTGGGTTTCAATATTTTGATTGCAATATAAGAAAGAAGTTCATACATTTATTTATTAAACAAAAAGGAGACTTTGTAGGCGGATATGTCTCTATTCCCTATGTTCCAAGAAATCAATTCGTCTAACTAGCTATTCCCTGCTGCCATAGAATGATAAAGTTTTTTGAGTGAGATGGAAGCAATTTTAAAAGAAAGCCAGAAAGCCATGATCCATAAAAATATTTTTAAAACCAAACTTTTTATATTGATGATCAGACTCATTACTACGCATACAAGTCTTCTTCAGCCTATCTCTTCTATAAAAAAAAAAAAAAGAAAGTCTTCTTCAACCAATATTTATCATGACCAGATCAGTATCTTTGGCCAACAAGACACCTGTTCTTTATGAGATTTCTATCACTCCATTTAGATATCTCTCTCTCTCTCTCAAAAGAATTTAAGAAGTGATAATTATTCATCAGGAGGTAGATGGCAACCTAATCACATTGAGCGTCAGTTTCCAGGAAGATGAGTTCATGGGTTTTATTCATATTTTGAACTCCTTGGAGGAAACACAATCACTCCTTGCAATTTTATATTTCCATGCTTGGGCTTTGGTGTCTTAAAACATATTCTATAGCATTAATATTCTGATCAGTTTATAATTTGGTTTTGGTATTATTAAATTGATCATATGGTACACATTGGACATTTAAAATGGAGGCTAAGCTGTGAATTACTGGATTGTCCATCAACAATCTAGCAAATCATATCCAAGGTAGATCATAAGGGCACTGGGGATGTTGGTTTTGTCAGTGTTACTTTGGGATGGGGAAGAGACAAGAGGTGACCAGTTTATCGCTAATTGGGCACATTTCCTATTCATCAATCAGGCCTTTTCATTTATGTTTCTTAAAAAAGTCTCCACATACTAAACAATCATGGTTGAACTTTGTAGCATCTGCACATGTGTTGAACGGCTCTTTCCCCTTCTAGCTGGTTGTATCAAAAATCCAAAATTCCTCACTATAGATCCATGAAGTCTTACTTGACAACTCAACTTTTGTTTTTCTTTCACCTCTTGGAGGATTAGATCTAACCCTAGTCCCTATGGCAGAGGGCCTAGAAACCATGACTGTTGTCTTTGTCCAAGACTACTAATTCATATTACCAAGTTAATTGCAGTTTGTGAACGTTATTGTTCATTTTAGGCAAAATTGCTGAATTTGGATAAGCAAATAAATTTTCTACATTGCTCCATAATTTGTGGTTCCCCTTTGGAAGTTGGAACCTAGATAGTTGGATTTTGGTGATGATGGATAACAGTCCGACTCTGATCTCTATATAGATTGCCTACACCATACACATATATCTATATATTTGAATTCACAACACAGAGTGGCATATGGCAAGGAGTACTTCCTAGTTCCTACCATAACACTCAGGCCTTCATTTGATCCCCAAAATCACTATATGTCAACACAACAAATAAATATATGCATAGGGATTTATGCCCAAATCAACATGGAGCTATCATGACAAAGAAAAGAAGGGAGCTTCTGGGTTCAATTTAAAAACCAAATTAGACAATGAGATGTTGCTGATGGTCGATCTTTTTGGAGAATCTTAGGGGATTCTTTTGTTTTTTAGCCCAAAAGTTGAGACATAAGAGTCTCTCTCACACAGAAGCCCCTTAAAAGGGTTTTTGCTTCAAGTCCCCGTGCACATATTATATAGACCCACATCAAATTATTTATATGGGTAACATGGGTAAAAGAAAGGCACACAAACACTGATAGACTGAAGTTGATTTGGTAAATAGTTGGATAGATATCATATATATATATGTATATGAGATGGTGGGTGTATTAAGCTCTCCACATGATCGATCGATGTGCCTACACAGCAAATAGCTTTGTTTGTTGGAAATGTAGTTGTTTGTTTTCTGGATTAATTTATGTCGGATCGGAATTATGAGAAAGCCGAAGCCCACAGCGTTTTTCAAGGGATTGTTTCAATCGTGTGTAGTAATGCATCTATGCTCTGCATGTGCCCACAATCTACAGTTGATATTCTCTACATTTCCCCACTTTGTTTTGTCTTGTTTTTTTATATTCCTCCGCCGAGGTACATCAAATCGAACCTAACAAACAACACCTTGTGGGTTTTTGCTTTTTTTTTTTTTTCTTTTTCGTTTTAATTTTTGGAATTTGGAGGGTAATCCGAGTTTAGAGTTCAGGCTTGGCCCACCAATTAAACGGTCTGTATTAATCCATACCATATATAGTTCAAGCGAGAATGGAGAAGAAATGCCAAGTTAAAAAGCCCATAAAATAAGAAGCCAAATTTGTTGCTACTTCCTAGGCTCCTAGTCCAGACCAGCATGTCCATCTCCAGATGGACAAAACTGAACCATAAGTTCATGAAACCATGGTTAGTGAACACGATAGCTTAATGTACTAATGTACATTAGATTATTATATAGAGCTGAGTTTTGTATATCTGCATCAATCTCCATTAATGTTGATGATACGTTTGTGTATGTAACCAACTTCAAGCCGTCCAGCCAATGAGACCAGCTTACGCGGGACAACTTGAAGAAATTAAGATGATCAGACAGCAGAGGAATCAGAACAACATGGACCACTTGCTCCACCCTCCAATCAGATGATGGATAGCCAGAGTTAAAAGTTTGTGTACCGAATGGACCAAGATATAAGTTAGGGTTTCATTAATTGCTTGCCACATGAAGAGCAAATGAGAAAGGGTGTATGGTTTTCTGACTAGAAAGTGTTTGTTGTGGCTTCATTATCTGTCCTCAATATATCAAGTTTTGAAAAAAGAATGCAGAAATTCTTTGTATATTCGGTTGTTGCTAGTATTTTGAGAGCCATGATGGAAGACATTATATATTCTTATGGCTAGAAAATTAGGGATTAGGGTTTTCAAAGTTTGACTAATGAGATAAACTAATTCCTAATTGACTTTGGCTTGCAGAAGAAAACACACCAACACCTCGTTCATTTTATTATTTTTTTTTCAATTATTCTTTTCTTTATTTTGAAGCCCTTGACACTATACCTATACCTATATAGCCACGTGTCGACGATGGCTTCGAGGATTATTAATTAATATTCTGTAATTTAAATAACTAAATTAAGAAAGTTCTTTGACTGAGGAGTTTGAACTCAAGAACTTTCCTCACCTTAGAAAACCATACCTACATCTATACGTGTCCACTAGGATATGGTAACTCATCTCTAGACAAGATTAAGATCTATAAGATCCATCTTCCAAGCTATAATGCAGAAATGTATGCATCATAACAAAAATGATCAGTCTGCTAACAAAGTGAACAGCTCAACAAAAAGCCATAATAGGGTCCATAGAAATGGCCCTTCAGTGGGTCATGTTTAGAAATAGGTCAACATGGAATCGGACCTTGAGAGGACCCAATAAAGCAACCAAAGCCACTTGCAAACTCTAAATTCTAAATTTCTAATATATGGATGAATAGAATTTCTTTTTCTAGCATCTGTTGAATAATTCTTGCAAGTCATTTGGTTTCTAAATCTATGGATGGTAATTAAGTTTTTGTAGTTTTCCGGGAGTTCACATGTCTGTTTAAGCATGGAGACTACATAAATATTGTGACCCACAAATCATGCTTGAAACAGCTCAGTTTGATTTGGTGAAACATCCTGATATTTTGACCCACAAACAACCCCTCTCTCTCTCTCTCTGTGATATTTTGACAAAGATCACTATGTATTGATTATTTTCATGGTTCAAATTTGTTTGGTTAGGTTTCTTCTTTTAAATATTAGATATTCCAAGTTCGAACAGATAATAGTTATGTAATTAAGATTTTTAATTTATCCCATAATAACAACTAATAAAATAATAACAATTACTAATTTAATTAGCGACACCTCGAGGTTGATATAGTTTAGATACCTTGCCCAAAGTTTCATTCATCCGATATGACAATCCCTGGAAAGTTGCCAAAGAAATTTCTTGAAAATATAATCAGAATGAGATATGGTCTACCATTTTAATTGTTTTTAATTAGCTAACCTTTTCTAACTAATTATAAAAGAGGGAACAGAGTGTGCATTCCAGATAATACAAGCTTGCTATTTGCTGATATGGTGGAACCAATTCTTTTCATGGGTCTCTGATTGGAGCTGAGTCAAGCCAGAACCCAAAGAGATCTGAGCCACACAATTCATTGTACCCCACCTCAAGATTGATGACAAAACCAGTGAATGTCCAAGCTATCCATGTGGCCCACATATATTTTTAATTTTTTTATACATGGGTGCACGGTGCACCATCCTATCCTAACGTTCTACTCAAACAATTCAGATTTCCCCTCATAAAGAACCTGTTCTCTTATTGGATTAAAAAAAGGAAATTCTTAACAATTAATCAAACGACAATCGCTTTCCACTCTCAAATCTAACCAACCAACAAACAAAAGAACATGGGAAAAATATACGCATACAAGTTATATATAGAACCTCTCAATATGACTAAATGGGAAAAAAAAAAAGAGAGCAAAATCTAACTAAATATCTATATATGAATCTTCACAATCTGATTCAGCAGATCAATAATTACTTTGGCAAACAGCATTAAAAGGGCATCTGGAGATCTTCTCCATTCATTCGGTCACACTGGAGAACACGTTAAGAGAATAGAAGTTGCGTTGCGTTCAATAATCTTCAGTACAGAAGAAGAGACGATGGATAGAAGTTATTTTGGTGAGCCAAGCTTGGCGTATGGAAGATCTGGGTCTTCAAGGAAAGGTAAGAAGAGCAACTCAGACAAGCCAAAGCAACCACAGAGAGGCCTTGGAGTGGCTCAGCTAGAGAAGATTATATTACATAACCAAATGAGTTCAAGCTATTTTACATCCCTTCACAGCCCCTACTACACTAATCTGAACCAGGTATCGTGATTTCGTTTTGTTTTTCTTCAAATTTCATTCATCTTTCATGCTATATATGAGAAGATACGACCAAAATCTGAAGTCTACTGGACTATTGGTTATAGGGTGCTCATGGATGCTTTCTGGCTATAATTCATACTTGCAGGAGGAGGATGCGAGGATGGGCACAACATACTCGTCCATTCCATCTTCATCTTCATCATCCCTTTCTTATTCACCATCATCGTCATCGTCATCTTTTGCCTTTCAACCAAACATCATGGTATGTTGCATTAAATTTCGTTTTTCTTCCTTCGCGAATCATGTTCATATAAAATGCATATATATTAAATTGGGATTTTCCAACTCTTAGTCGTTCAGCGTTTATTTGATCATAGTGTTACCATTTGATCAAGCGAAACATGATTTTCTTTTTTTCTGGGTATACCGTAGGGACAAAACCCAACTTGTTCTATTTTATAAATTATTCAAATAAACTGTGTATATATTCATGCCTTTAATGGGAGATGGTTGCACAAGAAGAGATTCAAGAATTTTGAATGGATATTTTCTGTTTCTGTTTAAAAAAATTTGTTCTGTTGTGTGAATCGCTGATAACCAGATGGGTATGGGGGAGATGGAAGCGATGGATATGAGATATGGTGATTCGCAGTATGGTACTACAGCATCTGGGTACTTATCTTTGCTGTTTTTTTTTTTTTTTTTTAATTCTCTTGTTAAGCGAAATTAAATCTCCAATTGGAGTCATCTTTGGAGTTCATTCTGATATATATACAAACATCTGAGTTTTCTGTCAAATTCATTACAAGCAGATGGAACTACAGCAATGGTATCTTGGAGACCCAACATAGCACCGTGCCACCAAGCGTGACTAGACATCTTTTGACCCTTAGTGTGGAGGTTGATCTCAGATGCTCATCTATTTTATTTCTGTCATAATAATACATAAATGTTTGTCAATATTATTTTCTGCATTGTTTCTTCAATGGAGAATCAGAAATCTTCTGAATCTGATAATGAGATTTCTTTCCATAATTTCATCATCTTATAGGATTCGGTGCAGAAGAAGAGAAGGAAAGACCGTTGTGACTCAATGGGTTCAAGCAGTCAGAACTCCGATTCAAGTGACACCAGAGAAGTAGATTTGGAACTCAGGCTATCACTCTAATTTGCTATGATGTTCGATTCAAATTGATGGGTTTAATTTTCTTTCTTTTTTTTTTTCCTTTTTCTTCTTCTTTCTTGTGATTTAACCTCTACTAGGGAGTTCAGCATAAGTGCATAACCAATTGGGTTTTCAGAACTCACAAGAGTTAAGCTAGTTGACGTACAGGCTTGTTGTTTTATTTGTCAAGTGCAAGGAAACTTCTGTAATGAATTAAGCAGGTACAGTACCGTTAATGCATAATATAAGCGAATTAATTTCTTCCTGCAGCATCCCACGAACTGTAAATGAAATGAGAATAAACAACCACCAGGAAAGATCCAATTCTCTAAAAGTGTTCATGTTGAATAAAGTCTAACAGACAGCATCTAGTATTACCTTTTTTCTAAAGCTTTCATGAACATGCTCATGGTTACTTTTTATTCTGATGAAAAGTATGCATGTCAAAGAGAAAACAGAACTGGGAGTGGAAGAAGACAAAGAAATCCATTCTCATATTGACAAGTGGAGATTAAAGCTTTCTACTTGGAACTAAAAGTGAAGGAGTAATATTAATTTTCCCCTAATCACTTGAGTTAATTTCTCTGGAAATTGATGATCATCAGCACAAAGCGTCTGACTTATATGCATGATTAGTTACTTTACAACCCAGTGAAAGCATGCATTGTCTTACAATTTGTCTCCTGACATATTAATATCAAACCTGTTCCCTTCCCCCTTCCTCTCCATTTCTCACATACAGACGCAAATGCACATTCAATGTAACCAGATGCTCCACCACTTCACCTTAGGCCTTGGGGCTAAATAATGTAAATTATATATTTCATTGCTGTACAACATTCAAGGCATTAATTCTTGTCACTACATGGATATATCTCTTTGTACGAGTGATAAATGCAATTCTCAAAAGCCATCTTAGTTGCTGGCAGAAATTAAAACAAAACAAAAAAAAAAACTTCAGTAGTTTATTAATTTTGCATATATTTGATGAGTTAATAGTGTCCTTACCTGACTGCACAAAAACCCGAAAGGATTACCTCATTTGGATGCAAAAAATTTGCTCCATCCCGGATGTATGTACTGCTGCTTTTTCATGGTGGATGACACAGCCACGCCTCTTGAGAATCAAGTTTTTTTTTAAGTCTCCAAACTTTCTGCGGCCACCTAATTAACATTTTATTGATGAATGGCTGAAATCGTATTCAAAATACTGGGGAGGAAATGGAGGATGTAGCCACCTTGCCCCAATCCCGATGTACTGGACTCTCCCTAGACTCTCCACTCATTTCCCAACAAAGAAAACTAAACTAACTTGAAATGGATCCAAAGTTGATTAAATGTTCTCAATTAAATTTGTTAACCCACGAGAAAAGAAAAAGAAAGAAAGAAAAGAAATTGATTGATTGCTTTCTACATATTAAAACATCATCAGCATATATCCTTGAAGGTAATTAATTTGTCTATAGACCATGGCATGCAGTAGTAATTTCTGAAGACAGCTTGGACCTTCTAATTGTATATTTGTACTAGACCAGCTTTTCCTTTTTTTTTTTCTCAAATTCACGTATAATTTCCTGCAATTAATCACATTCCATTTATTCATTATCATCTCATCCCTCCCTATAAAGCATGAATTGATTTTTATGTTTCTCTTGTCGTCATCGGTCATCGTTATAACATGTGAGAAAGGTGTTTCCTACTGGCAAAGGCAATCCATTTGAATAGTGGTCTACCCTTGACATTCACACACGAAATATCATGCAATCATGCTTCCTGCTTCCTGCTGGCAAAGACATTCACCCTTGGAAATTGGGATTTTGAGCCCAAGCCCTACCAGGAATCTTGAAATATCATAAAATCCAACTTTGGGCCTGAATTAATCCTTCATCAGGGTTGGGTTTTGGGTGAGGGCTACATCCAGTTGTATATCCTAGCGCAGAGAGAGAGATGATATCATATGAATTTATATTTCAAATTTTAACATTAACAAAAAAAGCAACCAAAAATAAATTTGCAAATGTTTCAGTAAATAATATTTTCAATTTTGTTAACAATAAATATGTTTATATAAAATGTAAATGAAATTTTGAAGATTCATATCATATGAAAATTCTTAAATTTTAATTACAAAAATAATTATTCATTATTAATATTTTTATTTTTATGAATTAAAAAATAATAATTTTTATTTAAATGTATTTTAGTGGATTTGATAGATTCAATTTATATTATATTCTCAAATATTTTGTAAAAAATATTTTATCTTTGTAATAATAAATACATTTTTATTTAATGCAAATTGAAATATTAATTAATAATTTATAAAATAATTATTCTATTAATAATATTTTTATTTGTATAAATATATTGAAATTAAAAATCATTTATATATATGTGGGTTTGATAAATTGTTTATTTTATTGATTTATAAAATAATAATTTTGAATATTATTCTTGTTAATTTGACTTGGAGTTATTGAACATTTTTTTTTGGTAAATGAGTTATTGAAAGTGTGTAGATTAAATGTAATATATTAATTGTAATAAAACATAATCTATTTCACTTATTATCATGAAATGGAAGTTGGCTTGATGGTTAATATCCTTGTGCTCTTGGATGTTTTGCAAACTTAGGTATGAGGGATCGAATCATGTTAAGACAATTTTTTCTAGCGAAAGCTATGAAGTTTTTGTGCGATACGCATGTTCCGATACCGATATGATACGCCCCGTATCGGGCATATCGTGTCGATTTTTTAATCCTTGGTTACACCCCCTACATCTTCCACCATTTGGAATCATTGGTTGGGCCACACTCCATTCAGCCACATCTCAAGATTAAAAGAATTGTCCCTAATAGAACACAATAAGTTATACTATTGTTATGTTTGTTTTAAAGCCAAACAAACACGAGCACCTTTTCCATTAAGTTGAATACACACTTCCTCACCATTTGAGCTAATTCATTGTAACATATGGGGAGGGAATGGAACACCTTCTATCACAGGTGCCCATTATTTCCTAATCATTATGGATGACTATACTAGATTCACTTGGGTATACTTGTTAAAATGCAAGTATGATGCTAGCTCCTTCTTCATTATGTTATGCAATATGGTAAAAACCCAACTTGGTTTTCAAGTGAAAGGAATCAGGTCTGATAATGGTAATGAATTCATTTATGGACCTTTGAAACAATATCTATTTGACCATGGAATTACTCAGCAAGGATCATGTGTCAACACACCACAACAAAATGGTGTTGTCGAACAGAAATACTGTCACCTATTAGAAGTGGTAAGAACCTTAAGGTTTCATGTAATTAAGTTCTAGTGTGAATATGTACTCACAACTACCTATATCATCAATTACTTGCTTACCCTTGTATTATCTGGTTGGAATCCATGTGAAGTTCTTTTTGGCAAAAGCCCATCTTACAACCATTTTAGGGTGTTTGGCTGCCTATGTTACTTCCGCACTGTTCAAAACATCCATGATAAATTTGTGGGACGCTCCAATTGTTGCATATTTATTGACTATCCTCAAGGACAGAAAGGGTACCATCTCTACAATTTGGAAACTGGTGATATCTTTGTTTCTAGAGATGTGGTGTTTTTTTTTTGAGAACAAATTTCCTCATCTTGAGGACTCAAAAACCATTCCTCTCCTAGTGGATGATACACATGACTATGATAAGCCTACGGACTAGCCCATTACTGATGAAATAAATTTACAAAACAACTCAATACATTCTTGTCAACCCACCACTAATGGTCCTAGTTCGGCCCACTAGGACACATACCCACTTGTTTGCTTATGAATGTCCCACCTTGTCATCATCTCACACCAAATATCCAATTTTAAACCACATCACTCATGCTCCTTCCACCACCTCCACCCCCCTTGGCGTCAAGCCAGGGTAGCAGAACTCCCTTCTCTTAAGTCCACCAATACATGGATCCTTGTTGACTTACCCTCTAACAAAAGCCCATAGGTTGCAAATGGGTTTACAAAACCAAATTGAACCTAGATGGGACCATTGAGAGGTTTAAGGCCAGACTGGTGACCAAAGGCCATACAGAATTAGAAGGAGTTGACTACTTAGAAACATATGCTTCTATTGGAAAGCTTGTCACAATCAAATGCGTCATTGCTCTAGCTGCAACTCACAATTAGGAATTACACCAAATGGATGTCAGCAATGCCTTCTTACATGGAGCTTTTCATAAGGAGGTATTTATGACTCCTCCTCCAGGACTTCTACCTCAAGGTGACAAGAGAGTATGCCATTTAAATAAATCCATTTATGGCCTCAAACAAGCCTCAAGGAACTTATTTGATACATTAGCTCATAATCTAAAAAACCATGGCTTCATTCAATCCTTAGCCGACAACACTTTGTTCACCTTAAATCAACTTAGTTCATGGCGATGACATTTCACACATCACAACTCTGAGATCTTATCTCAGTTCATGCTTCCCCATCAAGGATCTTGGTCATTAAGTTACTTATTAGGGATATAGATCTCTCAAAAACTGGTTGGAATTTTCTTATGTCAACGCAACTTCACATCCTCTCAGATACTGTCATACTTGACTATAAACCCAATGCATTTTCCATGTTACAACAACATCATTTACTACCCGAATCTAGAGTCCCTATAGCCTAGCTAGATCAATATCGTCAATTAGTGGGGCGATTAGTTTATCTTACAACCACTCGACCTAAGCTCACATACTCAATTCATATTCTAAGTCAGTTCATGAGCCATCCCTGTCAACTACATATGGATGCAGCCATGCAAGTTCTTCGTTACCTCAAAGCCTCCCTAGAACAAGGCATATTGCTTTCATCTACATTTGATATGGTTATACGAGCCTACTATGACTCGGACTGGGTTGGTTGCCCACTCACACAACGATCCACCACTGGTTACTTCACCACACTCGGTCACTCCCCTATCTCTTGGAAAATGAAAAAACAATCCACATTAGCATGTTCTTTTGTAGAGGTTGAATTTCGTTCTATGGCTGCCACCACCAGTGAGCTCATTTGGTTAAAGAAACTCTTTGCTGACTTGGGTCATTCTCATCCTGAACCAATGCTATTCTTTTGTGATAACAAAGCTACATTACACATTGCCGCAATTCCTTTCTATCATGAAAGAACAAAGCATATTTAAATTTATTGCCATTTTGTTTGAGACCATCTTCTTGTAAAGAGAATAACCATGGTATACATTCC